ATGATTCTAGGTTGTTATTTAATACAAAGGAAATGGAAGATGTTCCCCCCAAACAAACCAAGATAGTGGTGGGGCTGTGCCATCAAAAACTTATCATCTGCCCCGGAAATGGGCTGGGAACATTTCCTTTCCCAGGGCCTTCCCCTGGTCTGACACGCCGGTCAGGGGGCAGTGGGCTGGCAGAAGTCACAGCGGGGCCATTGCAGGGCCCGGGGAATGGGGAAGGAGAGGGGCAGACTCCCCATTCTGGACCAAGGTGAGTGATGCTGACATATGAAAGCAAATTTTCTGAACAACTCGCCCACCAACACCACTGGCCCTGGCTGCTTCCGCACTAGGCAGGCCCGTGGGACGGTGGTGTAGGGCTTCACTGGGGGCCGCGTCTCCTAGTCGACCCAGGGCTAAAGGAGGCTGGGAGAGGCTGAAGTCCCCATCTCGCCAAGGCCCAGTTAGGGGCCCCTCTGGGCTACCCTCAGGGACAGAATGACGGTGCCTAAAGGCATCGTCCCTCCTGGCTGGCCCCTAGGCTCCACAGTAACTCTCAGGAACCTGTCCTTTCTCGGGGTTCCGGCACCTCCCGGACCCTTCTTGTCTGCATGAACCCATCTCAGAGGCAACTGTAATCTGCTCCCCATCACCCTCTGGTGGGCTCCTCTGTCACAGGCAGGACACAAGCTTGGGAGACAACCAGCTGGCCACTAATCTGAGCTCTGCTACTTACAGGCCGCACGACCTTGGGCAAGCCTCAGTTTCTTCATCCACAGAGTGGGTATAACAACTACCTCCCATCTTATAGAGTAGAGATGAAGGTTCATCCATCAGTCAACAAGTATTTATTAAACAAGAGTTCCGGGCAGTGTTTCTCAAATTATGATGTGCATATACGTCACGTGGGAATGTTGTTAAGATGCAGATTTGTTTCCATACATCTGAGGAGGAGTCTACATTTCTAACAAGCTCCTGGGTGGTGCACATGCGACAGTCCTGCCCGCCATCAGATGCTCAGCTGCCAGAGGGAAGGGTGCGTACCTCACGTTTCTGGATATACCACAGAAGTCAGGTACACCAGAGGGGCTCAGGAAATTGGTACTTGAGAAGGAAGGACTGAACGGGAGATCCTGACAGGCAGGCGTGGGGCCCTCAGCTCTGCCCAGCGCTGGTGGGTGACTCAGGAGCAGGCCCATTACTGAGGGGCAGATAAGTCCTCTCTGTGGCCAGGAGGAGAGCTGGAGGCAGGACCTAGGAAGAGGCGGTTCCTCCTCCAAAGCTGGAGGCTCCAACAGGGCCCAGCCCACCTGCCAGGTACCACTGCGAGGCCCTCAAATCTGGTCCTCTACTCCTGGTGGACCAGGTCAGTGTGAGCACAGTGTGACTAAAATGCTGGGGGACAGGGTGTGCTGGGGGCTGGGCACAGATCGCTCGGACAGGGAAATGACAGGTCGCTCGGACAGGGAAATGACAGGTCTTCCCATGACGCTGTCCTATTTTTCTCTTATGAAAAATCTGTGGTTTTCATATTGTTTATGGACAAATTTGACAAGGAATAACATTCTTCCGCTTAGAGAAGTGGGAGGGTCATGCACCTGCACCTCATCCAATATCCATATCTATGCATGTAATGTTTCTGCATTTCAGAAACCTAAGGCTGCTCCAACTGTCCCCTTCTCTCAAGCTCCCGGGGTGGTGTCTAAAGCCCTCCCCAAGGATCAGAAAGCATCTTCTGGTCTAACCCACATCCCTCCGACTTCAGAGGAAGGCCGAGTCCTTGTGAGTGATATTTCGGAGGGACACACTGATAAATCCCTCTGCTCTGAAGGGGAAAGCAGGTGAGTTGAGTCTGTTTTAATGACTTTTGGGGGTGGGGGTGAAGAGACCCAGAGCTTGCTCCTACTCCCCCAACAAGAACAGGCACTCCACGGTGGAGACACCCACACGTGCCCCCATGGAGCCTCCAGGCCTGGCCAGCTCAGGCTCCCCCTGCGACACATGGCCCCATCCTCTTCCCTCTAGCCAGGTGTGCTTGAGAACCAAACTCCCTGCCTCACTGGATGATACCAAATGGAACCACAGAGTAGAATCCAATGCAAAATGGTAAATAAGCTATGGTGTAACAGCCTGGCCAGGCGGAGTGCTCGGGAGGAGGCAAGGCAGGCTCCAGGGGGAGGCCACCCGGAGTCTGACACAGCCTGAAATTGAGAGGCTGCCCGGGGGTGGAGCATTCTCGTTCAAACACAAGCAAACTGATGTCCTGGGTAAGTTGCTTCACTTTCGTCAACCTCGGTTTCCTCATCTGTAACATGAGGCATTGGCCTAGATAATTTCTATGATTTCTTTCCATCTAGAATCCTGAGCAGCACTATCACAGTGTATTTACGAGCTCTGGCTGCCTGGGTTCAAATCCTCGCTCTGCCATTTCCAGTGAAACCCGCATGAGTCCCTTCACCTCTTCAACCATAACTCCTTGTCTATAACACAGTAATGAAGAGAACATCTACTCAGGGGCTTACTGTATGGATTTAATGGGGCATACCTGGCACAGAGTGAGGGCTCAGTAAGTATTATTCTGTGAACTTTGTGGCCTCCTGCTGCCACTATCCTTTCTACGGACTGAATGTTTGTGTGCCCCCAAATTCATATGTTGCAGCCCTAACCCCCAATGTGATGGTATTTGGAGATGATGCCTTTGGGAGGTGATTAGGGTTAGATGAGGTCATGAGGGTGGGGACCTATGATGGGATTAGTGGCTTTATAAGAAGAGGAAGAGAGAGGGATCTCTCCACGTGCGTACATGGAGGAAAGGCCATGTGAGGACACGGTGGGAAGCAGCAATCTGCAATCCAAGGAGAGAGCCCCCACCAGACACCGACCCTGCTGGTACCTTGATCTTGGACTTCTCAGCCTTCAGAACTGTGAGAAATAAATTCCTGTTGTCTAAGCCTAGTGTCTAGTATTTTGTTATGGCAGCCCGAGCTAAGACAACCCCCTTGCTCATAAATGGAGTCAGGACCAACGACCAGCCATCCCCATCCCCTACTCTCTGCATGGGGAGACCCACTGGATTCCCCAAAACTCAGGGAAATCAACATCATGCACACCCTGGAGGCCACATGCACAGTCTCAAGCACACGCAGGGTCAGGTGAACCTCAGCATGCCAAGCAGCAGGGCATGGTCACTGCGACAGGACAGGGAGGACAGGCGGAAGGAGGCAGGCAGTGGGAGGCCACGAGCAGGCAGTGGGAGGCCACGTGCAGTCAGTGAGGGGCGGGGAGCTAGCACAGCCCACGACCAAGCAGCCCACGCCGGGAGCGCCCGGCTCCTTACCTCCCCTGCAGGACCTCTGACCACGAGGACTGTGTTCCCCCAAGAAGCTGGAGGCGTGCTAGAAAGAGTAAAGAGCAGGAGATAGGGAGCAGTGGGTACCGAGCCAGGTCTACAGGAAAAAGTGCTGGAAAGGACCCCCAAGGAAGGGTGTTAGGTTCACGGAGTCTGTGGCAGAAATGGTTTCCAAGAGGCCCAAGAAACCCAAGTGCTAAATGAAGATCACCCTGAAGACTGGCCTGTGCCAGGGCCACAGAGAAGGGAATGGGAGAGCAAAGGGAGAAGACCCCACAGACTGGACCATCCCGGATGGGCACCTGCCCTCCCGCAGGCTGGCGCCAAGTCTGTCCAGGGTGAAAATCTCGGCAGATTTCCTGGGATGGCATGAACAGTCTCTGAACCGGGAAAGGGACCCAGGGACCCAGGGGTGGACAAACAGCCCTCATGAAGCCCCACCAGCCAGGGTTGAAGGAGGCTGTGCCCCGCACAGATTTTCCCCAGATCCAATCCCCTGGGATCCAAAGGAGACAGAGGAATGGGGTTGGGGGGCTCATATTCCAAGGCCAATGTCAGAGTGGAGGTTCTGATCCTGGCTCCACCACAAATCTCTGGGTAACTTTGGACAAGGTACGTATCCTCTCTGGGCCTCAGTTTCCTCATATATAAGATGGGGAGAATATCCCTATCTATGACAGAAAAGGTGACAAATATTCTACCAGTGCCAGATACCCAATCCGCACAGGGCCACATGCATTTCTAGACTTTTCTCTGGGGGTTGGTTTGTGCTGGAATAAGGAGATGACCAAACACCCAAGATTCTTGGCAACAGTCCGGGCAGAGGGGCTCCTGAGACCTCACTGCCACCAAGGGTCACCCCTCAGGCTCTGTGATCCCAGGGTTCACAGATCCAGGGAAGGAGCCTGAAGCACAAAGTTTGGGGTAGGTCTTTTACTAACATGTAATGCCTTCAGGGTCAGTTCAATGGCACTGTTTCCCTAGATGGGCCATCCACAGCCCCATATCATGAAATTTCCACATCACTGACCCTGTGTGCCTGGGTCCCCACCAGAGCACCCCTCGCCCTGGGAGCTGGTTCTGACCTGCTCATCACTGCCTTTCTGGGTTGCTCACAGCAGGTGCCCACAGATACCTGAGGAGTGACAGACTGCTCTATACCACAGAACACCCGATTTGTAGCCAATATCAGTCACTAGCACCAGTCTGGCAACGGGATAGCACATGTTTCAAGCCTTTCTCAACCTGGTCACACAACTGATTCCTCTTGGTCATGGTACCCCTGTGAGGGCAGGTACTACAACCCCGTCTCACAGATAAGTCAGCTGAGGCTAAGAAAGGCGAAGATGCAATTTGCCCAAAGGCACACAGTTGGGTAACTAGTTGTCGACAGAGCCAGGATGAGAACCTGAGTCTTCTGACATCCCAGCCTGGTGCCTGCCATCTGCTGGTCTGTACTGGCGTGGCTGGTTACCACCAGTGTCCCCCTGGCTGGTCAGTGCCTGGGCACTACCAGGGGCTAAGTATCTGGGATACTGGCCCTGCAGGCCCACCTTCAATAGAGTGTCCACTGCCCTACAGCTGCCGCCTGCTCTTGTCACATGGGGGCCAGAGAGTAATGAGCTAGGCATGGTGGTGAGGAGCCTCAGCCGGCGCCCACGCTTACCTTTGATGACAAAGGCCTCCGCCAGCAGCCGCATCTGATACAGGGGCTTGTTCTCCATGCACATGTCATCAATCCCAGCCCGTGCATACATGCTGATGGCATCTCGGTACGAGCCCTCCATGTAATGCAGCTTGCCCAGGATCAGCATGGCCTCACACATGTACTGTGGCTGAAAGGACAAGGACCACATTAGCAGGCTCCTGCCACGACCTCCACCAGGTACCCTGGAATGAATTACCTCCCGCTGAGCCATGATGACTTGCCTAAGACCCTGCTCAGAACTCCCCTCCTCCTCCAGGAAGGCCTCCCTGACCCTCAAGCACATGCTGACCACTCCCTTCTCTCCCTATCTGCAGTCCATGGCCTACACTGCAGCTCTCACTGAAATTCTTACATAAGCCCCTAATTGTTTCACATGTGCGTATCTTATGCCCCCAACTAGACTACAGGCAGCTTGCAGACTGGGCCCTGTCTTCTCTCTCCTGAAGCCCCCAGAGGCTTTGGCTCAAGGCTGGTACTCAGGAGTCCAGGCACCTATTCTCAACACAAGTGGGGAGTCAGGGACCCAGGCAAGTTTTGTGGGGCCTGACGCTTATATAATTTGGGGGATCCTTTTCACATGCATATATATACAATTAGGTGAAAGGCCTCAAAAAGGGCCCATGCAGATGAAGGGCCGGAAGCTGAAGCCCCCAGCCACAGCAGCAGCACCTTTGTGGGGAGGACAGTCCCAGCAGCAGCGTGGGACAGAAGACAGAGAGCGAAGGCCTGCTGGGCCACCGTCCTCCTCTGATCAGAAGCGGGTGAAAGTGTAGGATCCAGGATGCGAAAGTGCCTGAAGTCAACCCTGTTGTCTTTCCCCTGCTTTCTCAAGTGCTGCTGACACCCAAATCTCCACCCCATACAGGGACTCTCAGGGCCTCCCTCAGGGCCTGAGGAGGTCTGGCCAGCCCTGCTCGAGAGCCCTGGCCTTGGACGTGGGCCCAGCCAGGCTCCAAGATCTCCCACCTTCTGAGGCCACTTGCCCTAGCTGGCTGCCTCCGCTTCTGTGCTCAGCCGGCCCCCACCCCTTTAGGCCAGGCTCTGGGTACCGCCCCCAGGGCACAGCAGCAATTCTGTCCACAAAACTCCCTGGAGACACAGCACTGGCCCCCATCCCTGGCCTCTGTCACCAGCAGGAAGGTGCCACCCCTGACTCCCTGGGGGGAGATCAGAGTCCGGGGTACCTGTGACCCCCGGGGAAACCTCCACCACTCCCGCCATCTACTGCCCTCTCAGAGGCCAACTAAGAGAAACGGAGCACAGCAAAGCCAAATTCGCCTTCCTCACGAGTCCTGTCAGTTTTCGTAAATACACATTCTTCCTCTTCCTCTGCTCATACAGGTCCCCTATCTGGAACAGTCTCCCTTCCCCTCAGCCTAGCCAGATCCTCTTCCATCCTCTGGGGCCCTGCTCAGGCCCACCTCCTCCCGGGACCTTCCTAACTACAGGGAGCTCCTTCTACTGAACTCCTACAATGCCCCTGCCAAGTGGACCCAACCGGCCCCTGCACGCCTGACCTGCTGATTAGTGATGGAACTCTCAGAGGCTCAGGTTTTCAAGGGCATTTGCTAGTCTCCTCAAACAGGCCACCCACTCCCTGACAGGGCCTCAGATGACACTCCCCCCAGGGTCCCTCCAAGCTGGGCAACAACTCTGCCATTCCCCCCACTGGTCTCAAGCCACAGACACAATTCCTCCCTGCTCGGGCCTCCTTTTCCCTGTGAAGGAGAGAGAATAACACCCACCCCTCACCTCCCATCACAGCCATGCCAAGAGCATTAATAGGGCAAAGTCCAGAAAAGAGCTTTGAGCTTTTCTTTAGAAAGGAGCTAGATAAATACAGGGCATGAGTAATCATTATTATTATCCTGTCCTACTGTAAATAGGGAAAAGGGCAGCTAAGCTCAGAAGGACATGCTTCAGGGAGTGATGACAGGGTGCAGCTCGCAGTGGTTCCTGGTGGACCAATGACAGTTTACAACAGAGCTTCCATCAAGCCAGGGAAAAATCAAGGACAACGTGGTGAACGTTTCATAAAGCTAAATTTATACTATTTAAAAAGTTGCCCATAATTCTGAAAGCGTATCTCTCTTGCTTTTTGGTGTTAAGATGTGTTTTCTTTTGTGGAGTGATGAGACAAGACGATGGTACAGTTTTGCTGTTGTTTTTCTCTGCTTTGTTTGTTTTTTGTGAGGAAGACTAGCCCTGAGCTAACGTCTGTTGCCAGCTAACCTCTTTTTGCCGAGGAAGATTGGTCCTGGGCTAACATCCATGCCCATTTTCCTCTACTTTATATGAGATGGCACCACAGCATGGCTTGATAAGCAGTACACAGGTCCGCACCCAGGATCCAAACCTGTGAACCCCGGGCTGCTGAAGCAGGGCAGGCAAACCTAATCACCACACCACCAGGCCAGCCCCTTTCTTTGCTTTTTTAATGTCCTTACTTGGCAGAATTAAAAGTTGGCTACACTGTGCAGGATCCCTGCATTTGAACTGGAAATGTTCCTGGCCTGTCAATCCCACAGTCGGGGAACCACAGAGCCCTGGCCCTGTGGAACGATGCTATGTAGGAAGTCACTCAGTCTGGGGAATAGCCCCTCTGCTGTGTGGAGCAGGCCTGTTTTTGGTATCTCACAGTCTCTGTCAATAAAGGGGAAAGAATGACCTCACGTGGATGCCCAGATAAGAGGAGAGAAGAGATGAGGAAATAATTTACAGACGCAAAACAGGACCTATAAACGCAGGCATGTCATCATCATTGCTAACATTAATCCAGGTTTCTCTGTCATTATTTTATCTCCATTCCAGTACTTTGGGAGATAGCACCGAGAAGTGGCCAAGAGCACGAGAACTTGGGATGTGGAGGCAGACGGGCCTGTGTGCAAGCCGTACACCTGCTACGGTGGTCCCTGGCTAAGGACTAACCTCTCCTGGGTCTCAGTTGCTTCACCTGGAAAATGGGGGAAATGGTAAACACCATTGCAGAAGGTTACCGTGGAGCACCAAAGAGACGGCACAATGCCTGGCACTCAGCAGATAAGTTATGACAAATGGTTCGTTTTCACCAACCTCCACAGAACTGAGCTGGCCAGGATCTCGGAGGTGACTGAGAGTACAAGGTTTCAGACCACCCTGAGGAGCTGCCTCAGGACCCACCTTGCCTGCCTCTCCTCCGAATCCCATCAGAGGTACTCAGGATACACGGGAACCTGCCTGAGATTTCATCCGCGGCCAGGAAAGATCACCCCCCAGCCACACCCTGGCCTTTCGGGTAAGACAGAGAATCCCACAGACCACTTTTATATTTTATTTTGCCTGATCAACACCAAGTTTTTAGCTTTGGCCCAGATAACAGTGAATTTCTCAACGTTTATATGTCTGAATAATAAAGCATGGTAAAATTTGTCCTTAATAAATGTGATTTGGTAGACAAAACAATTGTCACAACAATACACGTGGATACTGTTTGGCTCATACAAAGAATGAGGCACTGGCATAGAGACAGCTCCAAGTGAAATTTCTCGGTGAAAAGAACTTGTCAAATATGTATTCTATGACTTAATAAGAAAAGAAAGCTCTATGTGTGTGTGTGTTTGTCAACGCACAGAGAAACAAGTGTGGGACACACACCAAATGGTGACCAAGGTTCAACTCTGGGGATGGGGGTGGGGGTGGGGGTAGCAAACAAGGACTTCATTATTCAGACTATTTGTTTATTTAGTGAATTTTTTACAATAAGCCTGACCCATTTTTATTCTGAAAACAATTTTTAAATAATTAATAGAGTCTACTAGAAAGAAAAAAATTAAAAGGGTCTTGGTGGGAAAAGCTTGGGATGCACCAATCAAGTCTAACCCTTTTGATTGGCAGATGAGGAACTGGAGGGCCCAAGCGGTCAGGGGACACACTCAGGGTCAAGCAGCTATTTTAATCCAACACAAAACCTCCCAGAGCTACAGTAATCCCTATCGAGGAGTCTAACGGCAGTAACCTTCAACTTCCAGTACCCGCCTCCCACTGCGTACAGAAAAAGCCCACACTTATTGGCCTGGTGTCCCAGTCCCCACGCCCTGGCCCCAGTGTACTTTGATAACCTAATTACCCACATTCCCTTTCACTCCTGCTCACTGACCTACTTTAATGAAATTCTTATAAGAGGAACCCTCAGATTACACACTGCTTCCTTAGCTTGGAATGCCCTGTCGTATCTCTAGTTGTCCCATCCCTCCCCACTTCAAGATCCGGCCCCCCCAAGGGTCCAAGTCTCAGTCGATTCTCCACCTCACTCCAGGGAGAGTCCCCCTCGGACTTGCCTCCTCACGGACACCCCTCCTGTTGCATGTATCACAGTCCACCTTGGACAATTTGCTGATAGGAATTATTTTCCCAGTACACCTACAACCTCTTTGAGGGCAGGGTCCATGCTGAACTCATCTTTATTGCCCTCAAAGTACGTAACACAATGCCTTGCACCTAGTAGGTGGCAATAAAATGTTTAAGTCAGTAAATATACTACTTTGGAACATCTCTTGAAAAAATCACATCCTCTTGGGTCTCTAATGACATACCCATACCTCTATTATAGCTCAGGATACACTGTAATCTAAAACAGTCTCGAACTTTAATGGGCACATGAATCACCAGGAGAGCTTGTTAAAATGTAGATTCTGATTCAGATTTTGCATTCCTAACCAGCTCCCAGATGGGCCCATACTGCAGGTGGGTGGACCACGCTTTGAGCAGTAAAGGCCTAGAGAAAGCTGTGACTATACTTCCCTCCATACCTTTCCTTGGTGCCTTGCATACAGTAGGTGCTCAATAAATGCAGATGAACTTAAATCGGCTTGCCCTGTTCTTGAGCTCTTCTGTTGCTAGCCAACTCTGCACGTTTAGCTGTTTCCAACTAGATCATGGGCTCCCTGAAGTTTTATTTCCCTGAGACCCCTAAACAGCCCAAAGGGCCAGGCACATACTAGGTCAACCAAGCACTGTCTAATAGAAACATAACTTAAGCCACATGTCTAATTTAAATTTTTCTGGTAAAAATTTCTAATAACATTAAAAAAGGTAAAAATAGGTGAAGTTAATTTTAATAACATTTTATTTAACCCAATTTATCCAAAATATTATCATTTGAACATGTCATCAATATAAAGAATTAATGATGTTTTACATTCTTCATTTCGTACTAAGTCTTTGAAATCCAGTGTGTGTTTTTACACTTACCGCACATCTCAGTTTGGACTAGCCACATTTCAAGTGCTCAAGAGCCACATGAGGCTAGTGGCTACTGTACTGAACAGTGCAAGGCCAACGCTTAGGAAAGACTTGCTGCTCAGGTGACCAAATGACCCAGGGAGGGCCTGACAGCAGACAGGAGGCAGGAGAGAGGAGAGCGGTCCCCAGGCTTTGGGGCTGACAACTTACCAACAGCTTCCCGTGGTTAAGGATACTACTCAGGTAGCTTCTGGCTTCATTCATCTTTGGCTCATTCTTCTCCAGCAAAGGGAGGGAGTCTTTTATCTTGGTGTGGTTCTCCTTCAAACACTGCTCCAGGAGGGCCTCGGCCAGGAGCAATTTCCCAAAGTCATCTGAAAAACAGGGCAGCTATCCCCTGAACGTGGCAGATGTGGAGACTGGTACATGCCCCTGGACCCACCCAACCACCCCACCCCAGCACATGAATGGCCCAAATCCCAGAAAATAAAGCTACAGTTTCCATAAACTTAAACAGCTTAAAAAAAAATACAGGTATTCTACCATGGTCACAGTACAAATTGCCCCTTTGGGTTTATTTCCTGTAATTTAGTGGATGGGGAGGCAGAGTTCCCAGGACTTGGGACAAATTCCCAGAATTTCAGAATTTAAAATGAGGGACAAAGTCACACCCAGGCCTCATCCTGGGTAATAAGTTCTTAAACCAAGAAGGAATTTCCCTTAAACAATTGAAGACGGAAAATATATGAAGTGGCTTAATAATGCATTTTCACACACTCCTAATTTCCATGTAACCATAATTGGTTTTCTATGTTTTTAAGGTATTTATTTTAACATAACCAGGGATAACCTAGCGACCAAAGAGTTAAGGCGGGAAGCAGATTTACCTGTGTAGCAAGGCAAACCCTTGAACATGTTTGGTACTGGTACTTCTGGAGTTCTCCCACATATGTTAGCTCATCTGCAGACCTCACCACCTGGCAGGTGAAGTTATCGTGCTTGGTTTAATTTGCTGCCTCCCCCCCAGCACTGAAAACTCCAGTCTTGTGTCCACTATATTCCTGCTACCTACACAGAGGCGACCCAGGCGGGGGTGGGATGCGGGTGCTCAGTGTACAGGGTTTGAAGTCGAGTGTGGTTTCACAACAACCTCAGCGGGCTGTGCTCTGTGTGACTGGCTCACTGCCCCTCCCCCACAACCAGGACAAGGACCAGGCCCACCACTCAATACAGTTGTCCAATAAACAGCTGCCGAGTGAATGGGATCCTCTCCACTACCCCATGGGGATGCCATGAGGCTCAGAGGGTTACATGCCAATCCAAAATGTGTCCAGGAATGTGTGCTTGGTCCCCTCTCTTCCCAGAGCTCTTTCCGCCGCCAGGATGGCCTTCTCAGACCTACCCCGGGATGCCACTCACTCCTCACTCTCAGAACCATCGTAGTTTGCTCACAACTAAAAGCCACTGGTCCCAAATTGCATGCCTCTGAAGAAGAAATCTCCCTCCCTCCCTGCATAAGGGAGATTCCTCGCGGAGAGCATCCCGAAAGCCCAGGGAACAGTCACAGGAGATTCTCCCTCTGCAGAGGCCACAGCCTGTTAGTGGATCTTTTGCTACCTCTCGTGATTTCTAAAATTAACAGTTGGAGGAAATGGCCAAAAAGTACCTGGTTCAAACTATCATCCATTGCTGGTAGAGTAAAAGCTGATAGAACCTTTATAAAGGGCAACTGGGTAACATACATCAAAATTATTCATATACATTCCTGCTGACTCAGGAATTCCACTCCTACACACGTCCCTGCACATGTGTAAAACCACCTATGTAGAAGGTCATTCTTGCGGTGTTATTTACAATAGCAGAAAATTAAAGACAATCTTTATGTCCACCAACAGGAGGCTGATTAAATAAAGCATGGCACATCCGTAAAAAGGGACACCACGCCACCATAAAAAGGAATGGGGAAGCTCTGTACGTGCTGTTGTGGAATGAACTCCAAGATAAACTGCTAAGAAAGCTGAGTGCACAGTGTATGTCATGGGCCACTGAATGTTTTTTTGCAAAAAAATGTGAAAGGATATGCAAACGTCCGATGACCTTGCTGGCTTATGGGGAAAAGGGGCAGAGATGGAGAGAGGCTTTCCACGCTTTACTTTTTGGTACCTTTGGAATGCTGCCCCATGTTAATATATCACCTAGTCAAAAATAAAGTTTAAATCAACCCAGGAATAAAAGGCACTCTTCTACTTCATTTCCAAACCTCAGCCAGGAGGAGGGTGGGCTGCTTAGGAGTGGGTGCCTGAACAGCATTCCTGAGCTGTGGGCCTCTAGGCAAGTTCTGGCCCCCTCTAACCTGTTTTGCTTCTGTAAAACTAGAGGTAGGATCAGGAACCAGCGACTTCCGAGGGAACCGCCCCTCCCCAGACCCCGCCTCCCGGGCTGGTCCCCGCCCTCCACCGTGGGGAGCACCTGCGCGCGGGGCTCGCTGCAGAGCCAGGGGGCCACCAGGCTCCGCCTCTGCCACCCAACTGCCCGGCCCAGAGCTCCCCACAGCTCGCTGGCTCCGTTCCTTTCATGCCAACAGAAACCAGCTTCCTTCCGGGCAACCCTCGATCTTGAGATACTCCCCAGGATGCGCACGCCCCTCAAAATCATGCGAGCGTCCTCTGAAAATGCGCTGCCCAGTGTGCTCCGTGGGCTGGGGCGGGTCTGCGAGTGTTTGTGACCCAATCCCGGGAGATGAGTGGAGAAACTTCAAGTACACGTGCAGAAACGTGGATAATAATGGGACTGAATAAGAAAAAATTGGGGGGTAGCAGTTTGTGTATCTTATGGAAGTATCAGAGCGTGACAGATTGGGAATTGAAAAATAAAACTGATCCTTCACCACCGATCGTTTGAGAAGCATTGCTCTAAACCATAAGAGTGCATTTCAACGCGAAAGGGGGATTAACATTTGCTGAGGGCCTACTGAGTGCCAGGTACTTTATTATATAGTATCCTTTAATCTGCACAGCCCTAAAAGGTAGATATTATTCCCACTTTATAGATGAAAATAAAGATAAGCAATATTGTTATGGTAACAACCCATAACAATAATATAACACAGCCAAAGAACAGTCTGTCACCCTTGCATCCCATGCAGAGCAGAGCTTCTGATAGCTTAGAAATAAAGAACAGTCTAAGAGCTGTAAACAGTAGGTTAAAAGCTAATAGTGCATAATTCTGAGGGCAGGGATAAGAATTGTTCTCAGTGAGTTTCAGACTGTTCTGTACACTAATACTTCAGTTCCTTCTCCAGAGCCTTCTTGCCCTCCCTCCTCACTCCCCACTCCGGCTCCCCATTTTTGTTCTGCAGAACTCCAGTAGGTGTCTGGAATTTACTTTCTTTTCTTCCTTGCCCAAGTCTCCTCCCTGCTCCACTCTTTCTCTTCCTTTCCCCTCTTCTTTCCATCTCACTGATCCCAACCAGCCAGTCTATGGAACTGAAGGATATTTTGGAATTAAAAGTGCTAGACTGTCAGTTGTTAAATAAGAATACAGGTGGATAGAGGCCTTCCTGTCCTTCCTTCTCCAAAGGTAAAACAAATTGCTTTTTATCCTCTTGTCTGAAACCGACTCCTCATCCCAGTTTGGGTAACGTGTTCCAGCATCTTCCCCTCACCCCGCGGCATCAGGAAGACATTCCTAACAGACAGTGAAACAGACTCTGGGAACCTGGGTGCTGGTTCTGGCAGCACAGCCCAGACCGCTGCCCATGGTGGAGGCCCCCACTTAGTGGCCCCCAGTTCCCCACCCACCTAGTTTGGAAGGCCTCTTGCAGCCAGCTTCCTCTTCCCTCCCACCCCTCTCCAGGCTCTGAGGGTGCCAGGTCACAGGGACCCACTTCAAGGATACCTGCCTCCTCCTTGGAACCCACATTCGCAGGGCGGGGCGCCCCTCTCCACAACCTGCCACTTCACAGTCAGGAAACCTGGGTCCAACCAGCTGGGCCCAGTGCTCTGACCAGGCCCTGCCCCACTAGGTCAAATGGGGACACTGTGGTCTCTGCAGCTGCTCACCACACAGGTCTGCAGAGAGCTGGGACCTTCCAACCAGAGGGAGAAGAGGAGGAGGCCGAAACCAGTGACAGGCCACCTGCCTCAAACCTGCTCCCTCTAACATCAACGGAAGAAATGCTCAGAACAATCTCCAGTTTAAAACAAAATAAAAAATGATTTGGCTGAAAAAAAAAAAAAGATGGGGAGTGACTACAGCTTAGGAGATACTCAAGATGGATGGAGACGGGGCAGACACGTGATAAAGCAATGCAGTAAAAGAATATCAGAGTCTAGGTGGTGAGTGTTCACTGCAAAATTCTTTCAACTTTGCTGTATGTTTGAAATTTTCATAATAAAATGTTGGGGGAAAAAAAGAGACCCAGCCTATTAACCAAATGCAATGTGTGGCCTCATTTGGATCCTGACTCTAACCAACGAACTGTAAAATTTAGTCGTTAGATTTTTGGGGGGCTGTGATAATGGTATGGTAGTTATATTTTTCAAGAGTTCTTATTAATAAACACATACTGAAATACTGCAGTGTGGGGGAGAAATGGGTCGGGTATAGCTCACACAAGACTGTTCAGGAGTTCATAATCACTGACCGTGGTTGATGGATATGTGGGATTCATTCTTCTCTCTACTTTTTTGATGTTTTGGAAATTTTTCATAATAAAGGTATCTTTTCTGCTTTTTTTTAACCACTTGGATGGGCTCTTTGTTTTTACGTGAACAAACCCCATCTCAGCTAGCAGCCCTCCGGGGTTCCCCTGCTCCATTTTGACCAAATCTAAACCGGATGTGAGTTTGAAAGAAAATGTACAAACAGTAGCAACCACCTTCCCCCTGGGTGGGTGATGAGGAGCAGCCTCCCCAGACAGGAAACACGGGTGGGGGCTCCTTCTGCGTGAGCATCTCCTGATCCTTCACTCTCACCCACCAGAAAGAGGCCCACCACGGCTGCGTCCTCCCCTCCGACTCCCTGCCGTGAAATCAATGCTCTGGGAGCTGTTTTCAGTTTCTGTAGGAAACCCCACGACACAGCAGGGCCCCAGGGCCTGAGTCTGTAAAACAGGGCTCAACTCAGGCTCAGCTCCCACCCTGAGGACCTTCCTCCCTCTCCCAAATTATGTGACTGTTGAAGCTTCCAGTCTCGGACTGTAAGAGTCTAACAGGCCAGCTGGGACTTTGAGAATCTCCCTCCTGGGCTGCAGGGGGTCAGCGCCAACACTCTCCCAAAAAACAGGCTCTCAGTCCCTTAAGTGATCAAGGAACCCCGTGGAGAGAGAACCAAAACAGCAGACAATCCAAAAGACGCTCCATGCAAGGGCTTTGGGGGCATTTGTTTTCTTTCCTCGTGTGGGCGTGTGCACACGCATGTGCGTTTTTGGATAGTGCATCTGGATTTAACAGTGGGAGAAAAATTGCTCACAGAACCAAACCCAGAAGTTGGCAAGAGAAACCCCACTGCCCCTCAGTCTCCCTCCTTGTGCTGGTCAGCTCCCACAGTGAAGCCAAGCCAGGCTGCAGGCCCCCCACTCTGTCACTAGCAGACTTGGTGGCAGGGACTCAGGCCTGGGTACAGGCTCTGACACATAAAGATTATGTGACCTCTCTGGGCCTTGGTGTCCCTATGTCTAAAATGGGGACAATAATTCCTGCCCTCCCCACATGGTTGTTTACAAGAATTAAAAAAAAAAAAAAAACAGTGAGGGGCTGGCCTGGTGGCATAGCCGTTAAGTTCACGGGCTCCACTTCGGTGGCCTGGGGTTTGCAGGTTTGGTTCCCAGGCAGGAACCTATGCACCACTCATCAAGCCATGCTGTGGTGGTATCCCATATATAAAATAGAGGAAGATGGGCACACATGTTAGCTCAGGGCTAATTTTCCCAGCAAAAAAAGAGGAAGATGGGCAATGGATGTTAGCTCAGGGCCAATCTTTCTCACTAAAAAAAAAAAAAAAGGAAAAAAAATTGAGAAAGCACTTTATAACTATACCATACCATTTATAAACTATGCCATACCAGTGGTTCCCAATAAAGCTTCACAGGATATGGTCAAGGTAAGTTTGAAAAATGTGGTATTTTTATTCTAACCTTGGTTTGTACATCACACGCAGGTGAGCATATTAAAAGGCTCTGAGAAGTCCTACAGTTTAAAAAAGTTTGTTTAAGGGGCCAGCCTGGTGGCATGGCAGTTAGGTTCGCATGCTCTGTGCTGGTGGCCCAGGGTTCACGGGTTCAGATCCTGGGCGCAGATGGACACACCGCTTGTCAAGCCATGCTGTGGCAGCGTCCCACATAAAGTAGAGGAAGGTGGGCACAGATATTAGCTCAGGGCCAATATTCCTCAGCAAAAAGAGGAGGACTGGCAAATGGATGTTAGCTCAGGGCTAATCTTCCTTAGCAAAAAAAAAAAAAAAAAGTCTGTTTAACCATACTGAATCCATTAAGTCCAATTTCTTAAATTTTTTGGCTCCCTAAATCTTTTCTTCCTGGGATACAAATTAATTAACTACTCAATCTCCTGAGACCTCTAAAGAACAGCTTAGGAAACACAGCCCTGTGCGGACTTGAGGAGGCCCTGGTTCCTGTCTTGGGCCGGGCATGCTTCTCTCAGGGCTAATGTTACTCAGATTCCCACATCTCGCCCAGGCCCCAATGTCTTCTGTGGGGGCTACTTTCCGTTCCCACACTCACCAGTCCCACCCTGCCACATCAACCCACCCACGCAGGGAACAGAGGGGACTCTGCAATTCTGTCCTGTATTCTGCCCTGAAAGAGTGGCCCTCACCACTTCTCCCATATATGCACCTTTGGCTCTGGACACTGCCCCTCGCTGCCCACTCAGATCTACCGCAAAGCCTCACCCCGACTGTCTGTCCCTACTCAGCTGCCTCAGCGTCCTCCTACCCTTCCTCCTCGCTGGGCAAACACTCTGCCCTTCCCAACACCAGTCAGAGGCCAGTACATGTTCCCCTGCCTCCCGAAACCTTCTCACAACCGCCCTCTGAGCGCGTCCCTGCCTCCCCATCCATTTCGGCAACAATTCAAGCTGAGATTCTGTGCTACACGTCTCTGAGAGGTAACAGTGCAAGTGGTTAAAAGGATGAACTCAGACACCTGGGATTAAATCCTGGTGCCATCACTTCTTGGCTGGATGATCAAGGGACTTCTCTGTGCCTCGGTTTCCTTATCTGTAAGCGGGGCGGACAAGAGTACCTACCTCCCAGCGTTGCTGGGAGGAATTAATGAGTTGATTAAAGTGCTGAGGGCAGAGTCTGGCACACAGTGAGCGCTAGAAAAGTGTTAGCTATCACTATTACTATTATTCCGTCTCCCCCACAGAGCCTTCCACAGGCGGGGCGGTCTTGAAAACTCTTTATATCTGTATTTATTTACTCCCTGTCTCTTTCCACAGGGCTCTGAAGAGGCTCGAAAGAGAGAGCTCAAGGAGGGCTCTCCAGGCTGAGCTGAAGGCTCCAGGAACAGGATTCGAGGTTGGAGTCTGGGGCGGGGTGTTCCCCACTGCCACACCAGGGTGCGTTCCCGCCCCGCCCGAGAGCCTAGCCCAGCCAAACCAGCCCTACCGCTAAAGCCACCGACTGCCAGGGCTCGGTGGGTCCCGAGTCCGACTACAGATGAGGAAACTGAGGCTTACCAGGCCTCGCTCCCACTTCTCCGCCACCCACCCTGGCACTCGTCAACGCCCCAACCATGTCTGCTGTGGACAGAGCTCTGCTGTCAACTTGATTTGGAGGACAGAGAGGCAGGGCACGGAGACAGGCACAGCCTTCACCTACGGAGTTTAGAGACCGGGGTGCTGGTGGAGGGCGGCGCACGAGTTCAGCCCGTGCCCTGATCTGATACGTGCGGATACCACCACTTCACAGTAGACGCAGCTGCCCACATGATCCTAAAAGGCAGAGAGCAAGGCCGTTTCTCTCACTCTCCCAAAGCACCCAACCTGCATGTGATTTTTCTCCTGGGGCAGAAGAATCTTCCTAACTACCCTGGGTGCTCCTAAGACCAGCACTACAGGAAGGGTAATACCGACGGCCGCCGTCGCCGACCGGGGGCAGTCGGGGCGCGCTTCCTGGAGGAGGCGGCGCGTTTCGCGCGCTCCGTGCTTATGAACCAGCCCCTTCCCTCACTCACCGGTGTCCAGAGAGGTGAACACGGCGCTCGGGCTGGCTCGCCGGCTGCTTCCGCCGCCGGGCACGACCAGCGTCTGTATCTGCCGCACCAGCTCGGGCATGCGGTCCCAGTGGCCCTCGGCGCGGCAGCGCTCCAGCTCGCTCTCCATCTTCAGGTGGGAGCCGTGCGCGCCCTTCGCAGCCATCTTCGCGCGGGCGCTGTCATGGGAAGTGCGGCCGAGAAGTGGAGACCTGGCCGGGGGCGGCGTCCAGGCTGGGGCGCACTCGCGGGCGGGGTCGACGGGGGCGCGGACGGCGG